AAGAGTTGTTTATCCAAGTTTTAAATCACCCTAAGACATCTTCTATCACTGTTAGCCTGTAACTGTATAAAGGGTATAGATAAGTATATTGTAAGTATTTGTGTCAGGGAAAAAAAACAGTAGGGATTATTTCTAATGACCTTAAATTCCTCTTGCTAAATTAACAGAATAACAAATTCAGCTTGTGTGTACCATTCCTGTACTAAAATAAGTGTTCTAAAACTCTGAATTTAAATCTTTATTGAACATTGAGACTAAAGTTTCTGTACTTCTCAGGGTTAAAATTATAGTGCAGGTAACACAGTAAATTTAGTACTTGAATGTCTTAAGTTGGCTAAAATGATTGAATTGAACTTGAAGGGTTGTATCATTCATCTTTCATCAAATTTAACAAATTTATCTGGAATGTGTATGGGAGATACTTATTTTTACTGTGTTGGAATTTCTTATGTCAAAAATTGAAACTCCTGAATGAATATTGATTTTAAACTGTAGCCACAGGTATAGAAAGTCAAAGGGATAAGATATTTCATCTAGCCTGTCTTAGATTCTGTGTGTCCTTAGAAATGGAACTGTCATGGTTTAGAATGCCCAAATTCCAGTGATGCTACTAATAAGTAGAAACCTTCAAGGTTTACTTAAATCTGTAATCTGTGTAATTTAGTCTCTCTTGTTAGCTTCTACATCTTGTGATTTGACTAAGAATGGCAGATGGCTGAAAACATCCTTAACTTTATATTAAGCTAAGTAAAAATTTTGCTTTAATGGTATTTCATTTATGTATCTGTTAGCTGATGTTTTTTTTATCATGAAGCCTTTATAGTCAAAACTCTGCAACTTCCAGTTTTTTTCCTTTTAATTTCAAGTAATTACCTTAATTCAGAATAACGTGTAATGAACTCCCAGTTTCAACTGGCAATGTCTAAGAATGTGGGCAATTCACCTTCCAAGTTTTTAAGTCAAACCATAAGAATTAGAATTCTTTGACCATATTGGGGACACAAAAGTAGAAGATGAACTACTGCTTATAAGGTGTTACAGTTGTGCATTGCTACTTTGTTTTCTTTTTTAGTGATTGCTTCACCATCCTATCCATACCTTTCTGCTCCTATTCCTGCTGCTGCTGCTTCTTTACCACCTCCACCACCTCCTCCTCTTGAGGTGGGAGGGGCTTCAAACTTACCACCACCACCTCCACCTTATTCCTGTGATCCAAGTGGCAGTGATCTGCCTCAAGGTAAAGAGATTTTGAGACTTGTGTCAGGGTTATTTAGTCTGAAATTTTTTTTATTTTGGAGCATATCTCTCTTTGGTTGTCTACTGGGGGTAGGGTCCAAATGGAAATTGACCTGTGAGCATAATGCTAGGTAAGTGACTAAGGAAAGAAAGAACTGAAAGCTGAGAAAACCTTCTCCATAATCAAGAAGTGGATGGTTTTTTGGATAGGTACAGGTCTGTCTTGAACATTTTCTTTTTGTTCTCTCAACTATTTTTTTAAATTTTTTTAAAATTTTATTTATTTGAGAGAGAGAGAATGAGAGCGAGAGAGCACACATGAGAGGGGGGAGGGTCAGAGGGAGTAGGAGACTCCCTGCTGAGTAGGGAGCCCAATGCGGGACTTGATCCTGGGACTCCAGGATCATGACCTGAGTCCGAAGGCAGTCGCTTAACCAACTGAGCCACCCAGGTGCCCTATTTTTTTTTTTTTTTTTTTGAAAAGCAGGAATTGATACCAACATTTCTCCATTTCTTATATTCCTACCACAAGTGTATGAAATTGTTGTTTTCGATATTTGGGATTCCAAGTGAATTTTGAAATCTGAGAAGATTTTTTGTTTTTTTGTTTTGTTTTGAGGAATTGGAGGTCTGATCTGCCTCAGATTTTAGCCATGTGGTCTTGTTTCTTTAATTAAACTAAGGAGTAGCTTACTTACCTATCCCTGCCCAAGATCTACTCTGTCACCACATAATGGTGATTTTGCATTTCCCAACATTTTATTATGAAAATGTTCAGGGGTGGTTCAGTCAGTTAAACATCTGCCTTCGGCTCAGGTCATGATCCCAGGGTCCTGGGATGGAGCCCCACGTCAGGCTCCCAGCTTAGCGGGAAACCTGCTTCTCCCTCTCCTCCCTGCTCATGCTCTCACTATCTGTCGGTTGGTCTCTCAAATAAATAAAATCCTTAAAAAAAAAAGTTCAAATATACATGAAAGTTGAATTTCAATATGAATATTCATGTATTTGCCACCTAGATTCTATCATTAACTGTACTTTATCACATACTGTCCATCTTTCCCTCCATCCATCTCCTTGTCCATCAAGTCATCCATTTCAATTTTGGTGCATTCCAAAGTAAATTGCAGACATCAACATTCTTCCCCATAAAAACTTCATACATATCATTAACTAGAGTTTGGAGTTTATTTTTTCTTTTGATGTAAAGTTAACATACAATGCACAAATCTTAAGTGTATACTTGCTGAGTTTTGAGAAATGAGTATATGCACCTTTGTAACCCAAATCCCCATCAAAGTATAACATGATACCATTATCTCACTGTTACCTCATGCCCCTTCCCAGTCTTTTTCCATCCCTACTTCTACTTAACCGCAAGAGGCAGCCACTGTTCGATTTTTTTTTTGTCATAGTTTCACTTGTTTTAGAATTTCATATGAATATACAATATATACTTTTTATGGAAGGCTTAAGCTCAGCCTTATTTTTTATATTCTTTTATATTGTTGCATGTATCAGTAGTCCATTTGCTTTTATTGCTGAGTTAGTATTTCCTTGTATAAAAATTCCTGTTTAGGGGCGCCTGGGTGGCTCAGTCCATTAAGCGTCTGCCTTTGGCTCAGGTCATGATCCCAGGGTACTGCTCTATGTCGGGCTCCCTGCTCAGTGCGGTGTCTGCCTCTGCCTCTTCCCCAGCTCATGCTCTCTCGCTTACTCTCTCTCAAATTAAAAAAAGAAATCTTTAAAAATTCCCGTTAATTCTTTTGTTAGTGGACATCTGGTTTATTTACATTTTGGGGCTTTTATGAATAAGGCTGTGAGTATTCTTGTAAAAAGTCTTTATGAACCTATGTTTTCATTCCCTTTGGGCAATACCTAGGAGTGGAATTGATGGGTCATAGACAAGTGTGTTTAGTTTTATAAGAAACTGCTGGTCATTTTTCCAAAGTCGTATCTTATCTTTTTCTACTTTTTTCTAAAGATTTTATTTATTTGAGAGAGCAAGCGAGAGAGAGAGAGCACAAGCAGGGGGAAGGCAGAGGGAGAGGGAGAAGCAGACTCCCTTTTGAGCAGGGAGCCCGATGCAGGGCTCGATCACAGGACCCTGAAATCATGACCTGAGCCGAAGGCTTAATGACTGAGCCACCCAGGCGCCCCTTATCTCTTTCTACTTTTGCAAGAACTCTGCACCTGATTTTTTACTTCTAAACGTTTGCTGGCATATGGTGATCCACTCAAATTCTTTCCCCTCCAGTCTTCCATCTTTCTCTTAAAATCCAGTCATTTTCATGATACCCCCTCATTATATCTCAAAGTGATGTTTCTGAGTTTTTGTAGTCCCTATCTATGCACCTTTTTTTTTTTTAACAGCTTGAGATCTAGTTCACATACTATAGAAGCCACCCATTTTAAGTGTACAGTTCAGTGGTTTTTAGTATATTCCCAAATATGTGCAATCATCACCACTATTTCTAGAACATTTTTGTCACTCCAGAAAGAAACGCTGTACCCATTAGCAGTCACTTCTCATTCCCCAGGCCACCACTCTTCTACTTTGTGTGTCTATAGATTTGCCTGTTCTGGACATTTGACATATATGAATCATGCAGTATGTGGTCTTTTGTGACTGGCTTCTTTCACTTAGCATGATGTTTTCAAGGTTCATCCATGTTGTAGCATGTATCCGTACTTCATTCTTTCTTATAGCTGAATAATCCATTGTATGAGTATGCCACATTTTATTATCTATTAGTTCATGCACATTTGGGTTCTCTCTTTTTTGCTATTGTGAATAATACCGCTATGGCTATTTGTATACAAATTCTGTGTGAACATACATACACCAAGGAATGGAATCCTGTGCCATTTGTGAATTTATTTCCTGCTATTATCTTTTGATATTCTTTAGCTTAACCTTTAGTCTTTATACTCTACTCCCACATAATGGTCAAAATAAAAGCTGATTGTTTTAAAATGGTAGTAAATATATCTCTACATATCAGAAGTCTCCAATTTAAGAAAAAGGGGTTTTCTCAGTTTGTTAGTGGGACTCAAGTTACTTACAGGAATATACATGGATCCCAGGTCAGTCAATAAAAATTCATTTAGAGATACGATTAGAATGCTAAGATTATTCCCTCTTATCCCATACATCTAGTTTTTATTTATTTGTGAATATGTTAAGTTCTATGAAGAAGCTTCTATCACCTTAAGATATAAATTATTTTGAGTTACCTTTCTTATTGCCTTCTCTTTTTGGAGTTCTAGTGGTGTGGTATGTTAGTCATGTTAAGTAAAAGCGAGGTGAATTGTTTGATACAGTGCTAGTTATATTAGGCATCATTAATCTTGGCATTAGTAGAGCGTTAGTTTGTACTGTGTAGTAACTCCATTAACAGAAGACAATTATGACTGGTTATGTAGTAAATTGCTTGTCTCAAGAATAAAGTCTTGGTTTTATTCTTGAGACAAGCAAGAAAATGCCTTTACTGGATTCTTTCTAAATATTAGCAGAGTAGTATTTCTGTAACATCTGCCTAATATTCAGACTAGAAATAAAATGTATTTGGTAATTAAACCTTGGATCAGAAAATGATCTTACCTATAGTGGCAGGTAAATGGTCATTTACTATAAGGTAGAATTGAGGGTGGTGTTGATGCAAGAAGACTATATTTATAACTACTTTATCCTCAAAAAAGCTTTTAAGTGGTAGTTCTAATTGCTTATGTCTTCTAGTCACTAAAATTAAGATTTTTAATTTTAGATACAAAAGTTTTGCAGTACTATTTCAATCTGGGATTGCAGGTAAGTCATGTTAAAATTGCTTTGACAAACTCTAATAAGATTAAAAATGTAAGCTGGTTTGATAATCGTAGTCTTGAACTTTAAAAGCCAAGAACACTGTGAGGAGCCTAAAAGTTGTCTTTATAAGATAATTTTGAAGATGATATAAGTCAGTTTTGTACTTCAGCCTCCCAGTGCTTCAGTTCCTCTTATAAAATAGTTAAATTATGGCAAGTGGTGGCTCTAAGCACAACTTCAACATTTATTGGCCCCCATATTTAGCATCATATATATGCCAACCCTTCACTGTGTTTTTCTGTTTCAGTAATAAATGGATCATTTGTCTTGCTTGAAACATTTTTATGGTTATTTCTACATTTTATATGAAAAGTAATTGGACTGATTCAAAGACATTTAAAGGGCTGTATTACTTTTAAAGCAGTTATGTGTTCATAGATATTTACCAAACACTGATTTTCACCACTCCCCTGAATTGTAGAAGGGTGAGGGTTCTGACAAATATCTTAATATCCCTGAAAGGTGTCTCTGATTTCAGGTAAGAGTTCTTTTATTTTATTCTTTCAGACATCATCCCCCCCCCCGAAATACACCTGACTTCTGATACAACAAGATGGCATATTTCCTAAAATGGAATGATACATTTTAAGATTTGGCAGATGATAGTAAACTAGACAGACTCCTGGATAATGCTCAGATTAGTTCATATTCCCAGACACTGATTTCTCTAGAAAACTGTCTTCTCCAACTGGCACACATTTATAAATAAGAATAGTGGGATGGGATGTTTGTTCTTATTTCCTAAACGCAGTTTCAAGAATTGAAAATATAAACTACTTGCACCTTCAGTTATGTTAGTTTATTATAGTTACATGTGGAAACATGGTAATTCATGTCAGATGTCTGAGGCATTTTAAAACATCTCCTGCATTTTACATCATGGGAATAGAAGGACATTCAGAATAGTTACTTGAATGCTTTTTTATATCAAAAGTAATAGCATTCATTGTAGTACATGTGAAAAATACTAAAGATAACTGAAATCATGTGTACAACCACTATACACTGTGATATATTTCCTTATAGCTTATTTATTTCTTTTACAAAATATTGACTAGGCTATGTAATTTTGTAAACTTTTAAGTTAACAATATGAGCACTTTTTTCTTAAATATTTAACAGCATAATTTTTTTTATTGTCTCTATTGTATCCCATCACGGATATATCATAATTCATCCAGTTCCCTATTGAATATTTAGGTGGTTCACTGTTATTTTTCTTTTTTAAAAAAATGATGTATAGTTGACATACAATGTTACATTAGTTTCAGGTGTACAGTATAGTGATTTAATAAGTCTACACATTTTGTTATGCTCATCACAAATGTAGCTACCTACCATCTGTCACCATACAATGCTATTACAATACCATGGGATATATATTCTTTATGCTGTACCTTTCATCCCTGTGACTTATTCCACTCTATTTTGCTTTTAAAAATAATGCTAGGAAAGACATCTTTGTATACAGGTCATTGTGTATATTTGTAATTTCCTTAGGATGCCTTCTTAAAAGAATTCCTATGTTCAAATATGAGATAGATGCTGCAAAAGAACTTAAAAGTTGTAGTAGAGAATAGATTTTCCAAATGTTCTTTGAGGTCAAAAATGCTACTCTACCTGAAAATCATAGCCTAGTTTGTTTGTTTGTTTTTTAGTGAGGAACTGTACTACTTTAAGAAAAGAGATTAGTAAAGTGTTTCTTTCTTTCTTACCCAAGTGCTATCACCACAACTACTGGCACTCCATGGTCTATGTGCCACAGATGCAGCAGCAGCTTCATGTAGAGAATTATCCAGTCTATGCTGAGCCATCTCCTCTGGTAGAGCAGACAGTTCCTCAGTTGTATGGTGAGGTGGGGAGACAAGATGGCACACAGGTGGAAGCATCAGCAAACAGTGAGTAGTATGTAATGAGAGTGCCTGCAAGAAGGACAGTTGGACTTTATTATGTGTAATTTAATAACCTTCAGATATCTCATTTGGCCCATATTTTAGACCCGTGTTTTCTTGTTTGTTTTAGAGAGCGAGCGTGAGCAGGGATGGAGGGGCAGAGGAAGGGAGAGAATCCTAAACAGGCTCCACACTTAGCGCGGACCCTGATGCGGGGCTAGATCTCACGACCCTGAGATGATGACCTGAGCCTAATTCAAGAGTCAGACACTTAACTGACTGAGCCACCCAGGGGCCTCTCTCTCTCTCTTTCTCTCTCAAATAAAGAAGTTTTGGAAAAAACAAAGATAAAAATCCCAGCTTTCAAATAAAAATTAGAGTTTTGGAAAACTTCTATCTGCTGCCATGCGCTTGACAGCTTCTCAATACTTTTCTAGATAGATGGAGCTATTGGGGCCCCTGGCTGGCTCAGTCAGTAGAGCATGCAACTCTTGTTCTCAGACTTGTGAGTTTGAGCCCCATGTTGGGTGGAGAGATCACTTTAAAAAAATAAAAGTTTAAAAAAAAAAGAGATGGGGCTGTTAATGAATGTGGTTTTTCACACTGTATAATAAAATGTGTGAACATTTGGGAGATTTCTGTAACTCAGTACAATAATACTTTTACAATTACCAATGCATGGTGTTACCTATGTATAATTTTGTAAAAGATATATTCAAAGTGCAAGATAAAACAGTGGATTTCAATATTCAGAGAGTATGAAAAAGTCCACATTGCTACTCACCTTTGACAACTACCACTTACCTAGTTTTGGTGTAACATCAAAGAATATCTAATTATCTGAAAAGGCTGGTTATTAAAAGACTTCTCTTCCAACTGCATATCTGTATGAGGCCAGGTTTTCTTCATATACTTCAAAACAACGTATCGGGCGCCTGGGTGGCTCAGTCGTTAAGCGTCTGCCTTCGGCTCAGGTCATGATCCCAGGGTCCTGGGATCGAGCCCCACATCGGGCTCCCTGCTCGGCGAGAAGCCTGCTTCTCCCTCTCCCACTCCCCCTGCTCGTGTTCCCTCTCTTGCTGTCTCTCTCTTAAAAAACAAAACAAAACAAAAAAAAAACAACGTATCACAATTGGTTAAATACAGAAGCAGATGTGAGAATCCATTTGTCTTCTATTAAGCCATACATTCAAGATTTGCACAAATGTAAAACAATGACACTTACCTCACAATATTTTTGTTTTGGAATATAAACTTACTTTTACATGAATTAATATTTTTAACTTTCTCAGTTTAATTCCTAATACAGTAAATATTGGTATAACTCAAACAAAAGCTGTTTGAAATAATCAATTTTTAAGAGTGTAAAGGGATCCTGAGACCAAAAAGTTTGAAACCACTGTGCCAGACTATAAAGGTGGTTTCTCTGTGAGTTAACAGTATTGTATAGATGGAGCAGCATTTTAAAGGATTTAGAATAGGATCTTGACTGCCCTTGGAAGGAATCAGCAGGAGGTAGAAAAATTAATATAGACTAACAGAACCAAATCTATCTCACATTACAGCACTGCTACTTGATGGTTGTGATCTCAGCTAAGTTACTTAACCTCCCTAAGCCTGATTTTCTTTAAAATGGGAACTATCTGACAGGAATATTGTCAGGGTTACTGTAAGAACTAAATGAGATATATGTATATACTATATGTAGAAGTATACTGTGCCTGGTGCATGTGAGAAATGTGAATTTCCTTTTGTTTCTCCCTTCATTTAAAGCATTTTAATGGTTTGGAAATAGTAGCACTATAGAATCTTATCCCTAGTGTGGTGATGTGATATGGCCCATAGTAATAAAAATTCAAGTGTCAACCTTCATTGCATTTTTGTACCATGTACCTTTTATAGAACTATTTTTAATTGTAAACCATGAGACAGTGGCAGTCTTCATTCCACAGAATGTGCTCATCTATGTTATTCCAGGTAATGAAGGGCTCCTTTTTAATATTTACATAGTCACTATAGCAAGGACAGAACTGCATCTATTTCCACTAAAACGGACTCATGGTAGCAAAAGTGGTGTAAAATTAAAGTGATGCTAGGATCTTAATGACATTCAAGAGATGACACTTTAATGTTTGGTCTTTAGGATGCTTTTCAGAACCTTCAACTATAGACCAGATTGTATACACACCAGAGTTTTTAATTGCTAAAGTAATACAAGATGGTTATTTGGATAATATGTGTCACTGTGGGAAACTATTGGATAACTTAATTGGGAACTACCCTTATAAGAACTTAATTGACTAGAAGGACTCTAGAGAATGTTTCTGTATGTATTTAGTCTGTAGGTACTAAATCATCCCAGAAAGACAGCTATCTCTAGGTAGAATACATTTGATCCATTCTACACACATACATATTTAAATTTTTATAATTAGGAAATTTTCATATAATCTTTTAGTAGCTGGCTTCAGTCACTAATGTTCGTATCTAAAGTGCTCTGGGATGCCTGGGTGGCTCAGTCAGTTAAGTTTCCAACTCTTAATTTCTGCTCAGGTCATGATCTCAGGGTCGAAGAGATTGAGCCCTGCATTGGGTGCTGTATTAGGCATGGAGCCTGCTTGAGGTTCTCTCCCTCTGTCCCTTACCCCCCCTTCCTCTCTCTCAAAAAAATAATAAATATATGAAAGTGCTCTTGCCACATTTGCTGTGATCGTTCCTGTAGTTAGTGCTGAGTTTCACTTTTACCTGAACATCCATTTATGTTGGTGTTTTAGTGAATCTTTGTATATGAAGTGTGTACTGTTTGCATTCTTTGTTTCAGGTACTTTTCCAAATGCTGACCCTGCATCTGTCCCTCATGGAGCAATCTATTATCCAATGATGTCGGATCCCTATGGGCCACCACCTTTGCCGGGTTTTGATTCCTGTCTTTCTGTTGTGCCAGATTATCCCTATGTTCAACCCCCCTGGCATCCAGTTGGTGCAGCATATGGTGGTTCCTCTCAAATTCATGGTGCTATGAATCCTGGGCCAGTTGGCTATATTGCTTCACCTGCCTCAGCTTCTCATTACATACCTCAGAATATGTAAGATTCAGCAGTATATGAAGTATTCTTGCACTGCCATTTTTTGCTGTTTTGGTTTTTAAAAAGTGTTTTATGTTAAAGTGATTTAGGTGGTTAGGGTGGTTACTATTGTATCTGTCTTTAAGATTATTTTACCTTTTGATTTAAAATACTTTAAATAAAGGAATATTACTTTGGGCTGTGGATAAAGAAATTGAGATGGATGTACAGCTAGCTCCATGTTGAGCATACTGCATTACATTCAGCTGTTTTCCTGTCAGCCAGCTTGTCAACTTTGTATTAGCTGATGGTTCCAGTTGATAAGAGGAATAAATCATACAAACTACTTCCTTGGTTCAGATGTCACACATCATATTAAACCGTGCAAAATTGGAATAACTTTCACTTTTTTCTAGGAAATAAAAAAACCAAGAACAATTGCTTCTGGATAATTAAATATTAAATGAGAGAGCTTTTCAGGTTTCTTAATTGTCTGAACTGAGTTATGTTCTGTGATATTAATCAGTTTTGAAGGCACATGGTGCTCTGCTTTAGATTTATCCCATATGCTATTATTTGATATTGGATTTATGTAACTGTTTTACTGCACAGTATTGAATTGGTGTCATTTGCACAGTTAGCAGTAAATAAAAATTAGCATTAAAAATTGCTAAAATGAGTGGGATTTTCTTTTTTTCTTTTTTTGTGTCAGCAAAGAGTACCAGACATTGGATTGTCCTAATGTTTTTCCCCTGCTATCTTGGTGGCAAAAAAAAAAAAAAAAGTGATTTTATGACATGAACTTCTGGGTCCCAATTGAAATGTTACTCAATCGTAAGGTATTATGATGCATACTACCAGTTCTTTTCCCTTAAATATGTCCCTTTTTAGGTTGTGGGTTTTTTTGTTTTTTTAAATTTTAACTCCCTTATGAAACTTTAACCTAGACTTACGTTCTCATTGTCCTATATTCCAATAGTTGTATCTTTCAGTTTTTGTTTTTAGACTTACCTTGTATCTCTGTAGGCCTGCCTTGCCTTGTCTCTGACTTTCTGTGAGAACTCTCATCTTTTCCCTTTTATTTACCCAAAGACCACAAGATCCTCTGTTTTCATCAGTTCTCCTGTGAGGGGTTATTCATAATGAATGCTTTGCTGTATCTCACCTGACAAATAGCTATTTAAAAAGAATTCTTTGTTTGCCACAAAACCTATTTATATTGCCATCTTTAAAGGTTATTCTTGTGAATCAGTCCATTTTTTCCCACCTTCAGCTACACCCTAGGCAAAAAGAACCATTTAGAACCTCCAGGCTCCAGGAAACTTAACAGCTTCAAGTATTGGGGGGGAAACCATTTTAAAGAAGATATACTATCTTCAATGTACTGTTCTGAAGATAATTGATATTATTAATGAGTTCTAAATCCATGTACTAGTTAAGACTCCTCTTAATAGATATGGAACTGGTTGTGTTTTGTTTTTATATCCTTCATCTTAAGAAGCCCTTGCTGTACAAGTTGACATCAGGGTTTAGTAAGAAAGATGGGACAACAGTGTGCTGATCTTTATAACAACCTGACTCTGTGTATTAATGTTTTAGCTTCTTCTCTCCTGACCTCCTGGGTCCTCAATTTGTGCAGCCTACAAATTGTTTTATGTTTTAAGTAAAGGTTTATTTTAGTCAAGCTTAAAACATGGAGCAACCCCTCTCCAACATTTTTCAAATATCCTAACATTTCTGGAATATATATAACTCACAGTAAGTGATTGTCTTGTATCTTCAACTCTCAACGGTTTACTAATTAGCTTCTAAGGATTGTTTTAGAAGGTTATATAGTCTATCTTGAGAATGTGGGTCTGGAAATTGTGTGGTTTTGAGACAAGCATGTTTGCCTTAAGCTCCCAGTTGATTTGTTTTTATTTTAAACTTAGAGTTGCTGCTTTGCTTTGAGTTCCATTACTAAAGTGATTTAATAAGATACTTGTTCTTAACCAGAAAACCAGAGATCGTGGTGTATACTAGATCAACCTAATTATTAACTGTCACCAGTGTGGAAATCAGTATTTATGGTCTGTTAAAATCATGCAAGTGTAGTCCTTTGTTGATGTATTACAATCAGTCTTCTCAAAGAAATAATCAAGCATGTTCCCTGACCCTCCTATTGTTTTGGGGTTTGAGAGGGTGAAGGTAACCTGTATTGCTGCAGAAGTCTGCAGTGGTTTTTGAAAGTAGCTTCCAGATAAAAAGGAAGTGGTTTTTCTGGTAATTACAAAGTCCTAAGACTTAATGTGTTTAATCAACCTATAGTATAAACATAGTGGTAGACTTTTTTCTTTTTCATATTACCTCTTTAGGGCCCTTAATGTTGCAAAAACCTTCCTGTCTTCCCTCTGCTGCAAAGGCACTGTGGTTCATTCTTGACCCTTTACTTCTACCCTCTTCCTGAGATAGATCTGATTACACCAAAGCAAAGGTAGAAAGCTGGATCATTTCCATACTGAGGAAAACAATGAGAATTCTTTTTTATGCTGTGTATATTTACTTTCAAAATTAATTGCAATTTTTTTTAAAGATTTTATTTATTTGACAGAGACACAGCGAGAGAGGGAACACAAGTGGGGGAGAGGGAGAAGCAGGCTTCCCGCTGAGCAGGGAGCCTCATGTGGGGCTCGATCCCAGGACCCCTGGATCATGGCCTGAGCCGAAGGCAGACGCTTAACGACTGAGCCACCCGGGCGCCCCTTAATTACAGTTTTCTGCCTTGGTTTAAGAGCAAATGAAAATACTGAATCTGTTTTACTATTGAAATTCAAGACTTGTGAATTTTTCAAACATCTTTAATTTCCTTTGGAACCTATAATCAAGGCATAACCTTTTAATTAGCTTTGGAAATAGAAGTAGGAACAAATCATTTCTTATGTGAACACCAGACATCCAGAACTTAATTCAGACATAAATCTCTATGAATAATGAAATCTATAGCCCATTGAGGAAGGGCTGTACATGAACTTAATCTAGACTTTTTCTAAATCTGGGACAAATGTTCATTTTGCATGAAACTCTTGAAGCCATTTATATTTCCATTTGTAATAAAAACTAAATTCGGGAGAATAAATACAGCAAAAGACAACCTCTTGTTCCCCCCATCTCACTAGAATAAGTTTCAACTGGAGCAGCTTGATTAGAACACTTGTCTTCTGTTTCAGTTATCAAAGGCAGTTTCAGGGATGTGTGGGGTCCCTGTGCGTGGGGTGATAACAGCCTCAGGAAAGGATGGACCTGAGTTTAGGTAACTACTGTGGGACTAAAACCACTTCAGAGTGATAAATCCTGGGTATCACCTCAGTCTGGGTGGCAGGGTTTATAGATGAAAGATGAGCTGCATGTTAATTGTTGAATACTTGTTGAAGCTTGGGTTCACTATGCTCTTCCCTCTACTTCAGTGATTGAAGTTTTTCATAATAGTTCTTTTTTTAAAAAAAACTACTTTGGCAACTGGCAATATGGAGAATAAATGTTTACGAAGTGAAGAGTTAAGGTTTTAAAAAATTTTGCCTTGATTGCTGAAAAACAATTTTAGAGAAGCCATCACATAAGGTCTGTAGATAGGTACCTAACAAGGCACATCTGGGGGTTGGGAGAAGCCCATAGTATATAGGCAACTGAGTCTTCAGATTTTGTAATTCTCAAAAGTATTCGCTAGCTACTTTGTAAAACTAAATTTTGTTAAACCATGATATACATTTGTAGTTGAAACTAATTGAGGTGAGTGAACCATTTCAGGTTTTACTGCTTTACTATTTCTCTAATCAATGCTTTTTGAGTTCACTGCTTATGAGCTTGGAAATCAGAAGTCCTTTACTGTTGAACAGCTGCTGTGTTTTGGGGTTTTCTGGTAGGTGGTCCTTGCCACTGGCTAGATTTTTTGTGAAAGGGGGCTGGGAGAAGTGATTCACAATATTGAGGTTAAACTGGATCATTTCCTATGAAAATACAGGCCAGTCCATGAATAAAAATGTTAAGATCTAGCTTAGCAAACATTACTGATTAATAGTATTGATTTATTGGTGTTCTGTGGGCGGTCAGTTCCTTCACCTAATCAAGTAATGGATCTTTTCTGGCAGACCTTAATGGCTTTTTCCAAACTATATGATACAGGTTTTTCAAATCATTTGCAGAATTATAGAAAAAAAATTCTACCCTAGTACTGGAGTACTAAAGTTCTAGACTTAAAAAAAACTAATGTTTTCTTTCCTTCCTGGTATATTAGCCAGATCAAAGTTTTTATCTTGATAAATTTCATTTATGCAAGATGAAGTTCTAGAGATGTGCTGTACAATACTGTGGCTATAGAGAACACTTCTGTATTGTACACTTAAAAGTCTGTTAAGATGGTAACTCATGGTAAGTGTTCTTAGCACAATAAAATAGAAAAGTTCTACCATATGGACGGCCTTACCAACCCCCCCACAAAAAAAAACAAAAAACCCCATGATTTTATAACTTGCTTTGCCTGCTTCAGCGGTTGAATTTTGTTTTAATTTTCTTTCATTCCTTTCGCTCTGCTAAAATAGCTTCAACTACCTAAGAAGTTTTCTCCCTCCTACTTTTGAAGCATGGTATAGATTTGGCTTTTGTTAACTTAGTTATTTTCCTTTACTCACTGCTTATTTTTTCCAGCATTTTATTATGAAAAATTTTAAACGTACAGAAAAGTTGAAATAATTGTGTAGTGAACATCTGTGTATCCACCATCTAGATTTTACAATTAACGTTTTACTTTTCACATATCCATCTATAAATCCTTGTTTTTTTATGCATTACAAAGAAAATTGCAGACTCCAGTACACTTCACCCCTAAATGTTTCAGCATATTGTTAACTAGAATTGAGTATTTGTTAAAGGTTCACTTTCTTTTTTGAGGTAAAATTTACAGGCAATGAAATGCACAAATCTTGTGTTTGATGCAGTGAATTTTGATAAATCCTGCATCTGTGAAACTCAAGCCCTTATCAAGATAACATTTTCATCACCCCAGGAAATTTCCTCATGCTCCTTCCTAGTCAGTCTGTCATCCCAGACCATCCCCTAGGTAACCACTGTTCTTTCTGATTTTTCCCGCATCATAGATTAGTTTTTTTCAAAATGTATATAAATAAATCAGGGCATGTGCTCCCTTGTGTAAGGCTTTCAGCACAGTGTATTCAGGATTCATTCATGTTGTGTGTGCCAGTACACATTTATTGCTGAGCAGCATTTCTTGTATGGATATGCTATCATTTGTTTATCCATTCTGTCGAAGGACACCTGAGCCATTCCTAGTTTTTAGATAAGAATAAAGCTGCTATTGTTATGAAACCCGGACTGGATTGCCCGATGGAAGAACCGAGCGGCACTCGGAGATCTTGGAGGATAGGTTTATTTAACGCCAGGGGACTCAGAGGAGAGTGGTCTCCAAAGGTCTGAGCCCCGAGCACAAACAAAGGGGGCAATTTATACACTTATACTTCCACATACTGGGCACTCTTGGCGTGTGCGCGAAGCAGGGCAGGGAGAGGAACCCGGATTGGCACGTGCGGGAAGCAGAGCAGAGAGAACGCGGAAGAGCCCTGGGGCAGGGGCTGGGACTCCCTCGCTGGCCTGGTCGGCCATCTTAGGACACAGATTTTTCCTT